TATTGGCAAAGGCATCACGAACATACATATCCAACCATAGTATGGGGTCAATAGTAAAACGGCCCTTACGAAAGCCATATTGACTAGTGGAGAGTATCGTCTCTACATTAAACGTCTATTTACCAGACATTCCATCATCTTGCAAACTGCACTGGTAAGAGCAATGGGGCGATAGTGGGAGGCATCATGTCTCGTAGTACCCAGATTGCAAAATGGAAGAACAATGGCAGATTTCCACAGCTGGGGAAGAACTCCTTGCAACCAAATAAGATTAAAGACTCGTAAGAGGACAGCAAGGGCCGACTGATGCAAATGCTGCAGCATACAAATATGAATGCTATCAGGCCCAGCTGCCGATGATCAGCAAGTAGAGATAGTTGCCTCCAGTTCCAGAAGTGTAAAGGGCACATAAGATTCTTCTCCAATAGAAGAAAAGTTTAAGGGCTCTAACTCTCTGGCAGACTTGGAAGAAAGTAATGAGGGGCATAGATGGAGCCCCTGAGAGATACAGACAAGATGATTACCATTTTCGGTGGCAACGTTATGAGGGTTTGTTATAGTGACACCAGCAACCCAAAGAACGGGAGATGTGTCAGGAGAGTATTTACCACTCAGTTACCGTACTTTTTTCCAGACTGCACTCAAAGAGGAAGCTGAAGTGACGGTAACATCATGAATGACACAGCGGGTAACCGCTCTCTTCTGCTTAAAATCAAGGAGTCGCTCTGTGGTTCTATTGTACTGGTACCTGCCCCCACAGCACATTTCAAATGTACTGCCCAAACACAAGCAGGAGACCACCAAGGTATGCACCTCTGAGAATGCCTGCCCAAGGTTTGGGGTATAGAATGTGAAGCTACAGTTAAAACTGAGGTCAAGAAGGTGTAAAAGCTCATCAGAGGAGGACAAAGAAGGATCCTCACTAAAAGCAGTTTGACATGAGAAAAGGTCCCAATTCTCTCAGTCAAATTGCCAGTGTGGGCTGTGAGGTGGTGGTGAACACGAAGGAGAAGTAAGGATGACTAGAAAATGATTGCTGTCATGCAAGTCTTGGAGGAGAGACCAGGTAAAGTCTAGTACAGTTGAGGAAGAGCAAGCAAGAGAGAATGGGTACAAGGATCAAAATGGGTGGGAGTACCCATATTTAAAACATGGAGGGGGAGAGAGTCGAGAAAAGCCTCCAACTGAATGCCACAGGTGTCACAGTGAGAAAAGAGGAAATGGTGAGCATTAAAATCGCCAAGTAACAGAAGTGATGGCAGTAAGGAAGAAACCAGAAATGCAACATCTGGGATAGGTAATGCCCAAGGAGGAGAGAGATACAAAGAACAGATTGTATATCACTTATTCAAGTGGATAAGGGCTGCAGTGTAATGGAGCGTAGTATGAACAAAGAGCTGATGGTATGGAATACTGGTGCATATAAGAAGTGCACTTTCATCAAAGTTTCCATTGGGAAAAGGATCTGATAAACATAATAAAACATAGCCTGAGATGGGGTGGATAACAATGGGGCGTAATTTGGGTTCTTGAAAATAAACACAAACGGGAAAACTGGGAGAGCAACACCTGAAGCTCACCCTGGCTACCTCTGAGGCCATGGATATTCCACTGTAAATAAGCCATGATTTGTGAAGAGAAAGATACAAGAAATCTGAAGGTAGAGGTATCTACGAAGTAGAAGGGTTAGAAAAGTCCACATGTGGAGGCAGCGGAAAACGCACAAGCAGCAAAGGATTGAGATGATGTGAAGAAAGTTGTGCAGACGAAGAGTGAAGAGGAGGAACAGGTGGAGGATCGGTGTTCTTCAATGGTCAAGTATCCTCAATATATTCGGATAGCTTCAAATGTTTCCGAGGACGAGGACAAGGACAATGTAGGATGATACTGGAGATGGAAGAAGGAGAGTGAGTAAAGATCAGGACGAAGCTGGAATGTATCAAAGTAAGGGGAGACGAAAGGATAGAGGGAACTGGAGAAGATTGGGAGGGGACAGGAGAGGAAGTGACCTGGGAGGGAGCAGATGATGAAGAAACTTGGAAGGGGACAGGGGAGGAAGATACTGTACAAGGAGGAGGATGAACCTTCAAACTCATAACAGAGCCAATTAGAGGTGAAAAACCAGGTGCAGAGACTGGAAAGGAAAAAATGCACAGGTAGAAGGGAATAGGGGGTTAAAGGAGATTTAACAATGGGGATTTTTTGGACTACAGAAAAGTAGAGGGGCGATGGGAAGGAGTTGTATGAGATCTTGTAGACACAAACTTGTGAGTGAGAAGAGGAAGTAGTGAGAAAAGAATATGGTGTGGAGGCAGGGACCTCTGAGTCCAGGACAGCAAAAGAATTAGGGACAGGGGTAACTGTGGAAGGGGTGACCACAGAGAAGGCTGCAAAAGTTGGGACCCCAGAGATGGGGAGGTCATTTAGTAACTCGAGAATAAGAAATACGGAGAAGTCTCCCCTGGAGGCATAGATGAGGGACTGCCATAGCTTAAGGAAAGCCTTCTGCCTCTGAGACAACAGATTTCTCCCTCATTTAAGTAAACTTGTCAATGGCGAGAGTAAGATGGGTGAACCTCATGACAATTAAGGCAAGAGGGAGGTAGAGTATATAATGTATTAGTATGGTCATCGGCACCACAGACTGGGCATTTGGCCATGGACCTGCAATATTTCGCTGGATGACTGAAATGCCAGCAATTTCCTGGACATAGCAATGTTCTGGGTAAAAAACAAGCAAACTGAAGCTGCTCATTCAACTGATCAAGACCTCTCAATTTCCAACGGGAATTTCTTACTCGTATTATTTTTCGGTGATCTATTGACATGGCAAGGATGTTGGTCTGAGTTGGCTGACAACAAAGTGTTTTCTGTCTAGCCATCATGTTCCCATCACTGTCATGTTTGGGAGACTGCACTCTCCCCTCTACTCATTAGCCGCATCTGTCTTGCTCACAGACATCTTGTGAAAAAAAAGCACACCCCTGCAAGGATTGTCACTGTCCTAAAACACACACATACAAAGAGAGACTTCCTTACTGAAAGTTCTACCTTTGATGCAGACACTCCTTTTGACTTTTTAACAGAAACTAACCTATTGCATAAATTGTGGTTTCCTTTCTTTTTGCACTCTTCCCTACTCTCTCATGCATCCCTGCCATTCACTCCCTTATCACATATCCCTACCTGCAGTGCTGTTGAACCCTTTCAGGTTCAGTGCTTAATTTGATAGCAGTCGTCTCCTTTCTTGGATCAAGCTTGAATGCCTCCCATTCCACAGGCAGTACATGATCCCTAGGAGTTAAGCACTTCCTCAGTTAACTGAAAATGACTTATTACATCAACTTCGATTTTTCTATATTATGAGCTGACACTTCATACCTTTCCCAATGTCGGCACCACTCTGAGATGCAACAATGAATAAAACCAAGGGTTAGTTTTTGTGTGTTATGTATAATGATCCTGCCTCCCAGTGAACTAAACATCACTGAGAGATCTTGTATTCCCCTCAAGATAGGTTCCTTAACACCTGTGACCCTTAAATCCAAGGAACTGATCCTGACCTCCCCTTCCTTAGATTAAACCTGATGAGCCCCTAAAGGTTAAGTGCTTTCCCCCCACCTACTTCCATGAATGTAATGTGCTGTGTAATACAGGGGATCTGAGATTACAGTGGTACATAGGTTCAGCACTTCACCTTACATAATAAACTACAGTACCTCAAGAAAGAGGGATAAAAATGGGTGTTTTATAGTCAAACCATAATTCTTCCTTTCCAAAATGGGTCTCTAATTTCCACAAAAACTGAAACAATTCTCTCTAGACTGAGGAAAGCACATATGCTTTACCTATTGCCACCTATTTTGCTTATACTCGTGTATCTCCTCTGACTTGTATCAAGTTGTTAAATGGAGTACATTTTGAACATTTGTTCTTGGCTTCAACCTTTTTTTACCAAAGTCATGATTTCTATAATTACAAGGGCACTTGTAGGGTAATAAAGAGGTTCAACTGAAGAAGGTAATTTTAAGTTCACGTGACAGTAATTCATGTAGTTGCTAGTGTCATTTAGTTATTTTGAGTTAATTTTAACTATGTTAGCTGTATGACCCTTGTAGGTTTAGCACTTTATTTTTTTATAATAATAATTTAGCTATGACTCATGAAATCGTAATGACACGATTGCAAACAAACCATACCACAGGTGGGGTTTGAACCCGCGGTCAGAATCTCAAAACTCCAGATCGTTGCACTAGCCACTGGGCCAGCTAGCTTCAATAAGATTCATCCAACTAGGTATATTATACCTAGTTGGATGAGTTTTGAGACTCACTGACAATGGGTTCAAACCCCACCTGTGGTATGGTTTGGTTAATTTAACTATGTTAGGTGTTTATACCACTGAATAATGATATATCACAGGTCAAAATACATGTACTCTATAAATATTACAACTTTTTACTGTTTCACTGTCCACAGCATCATTTCCAATTTCAACTGATGGGGATTAGTGTTTTTTATATACACAAATTTCCAAATAGTGATTCCTCTGCAGAATCTGATCCAAGATAGACACTTTCCGAATGAAATCTTCTTGCAATTTTTTTTTTACCATATCTTTACAGGTAAACTAATGCACAAGCACACAATATTATACAAGGTTCAACAAGTAGATTAATATTATATTTAAGGCTATATACCCAAACAGGACTAGTGCATGTTTTGAATATAATATGTAGGGTGAGTCACCTAACCTGTAGGGGTTATACAGCACCTGGGGTAATGGAAAACAATTAAGTTCAATCCAAGGAAAGAATAAGTTCAATTCCCTAAATCAAGAACCACCTCATTGGCATCAAGGAACCTCCCTTCAGGGGTGTGACAAGGATATATATCACTGCAATTTTTGTCTTCCAAGTGGAAACAGAGGCAAAGATGGAATTTACCTCATGTTAGTTACCCAAAACCCCCTAAGGTACCAGGTTAAGTAAATTACCATCTAGAAAGTACTTAAATTTATTGTGATCTGTACAGTCTGAACAGAATCACATTAGATATTATTTTAAAAGGAAATTTTTTTTCATCTGAATGACAGACATCCCTTGAACAATTACTGGATAAAAATACAGGATACAAAAAAAGCAACACAATATTAACACATAAGTAACAGAACCTAATGCCTTGCCAGCAAGTGATTTATATTGTCTCTCAAAAGATTCCACCATGCAGGTAAGTGTGGATCTGTTATGTAAAAAGTTGGTAGAGAGTTCTGAAGAACAAAGAGAAACTGCATAGGCTCCCCAAGTTCCATAGGAGTCTGCACCACTACATGCATCTACTTGCTGCATCAAACCTAAATCTTTAAGTCAACAACTAGGAGCGGCAACTATATTGTTAACACAAAGGAATGCCTTGGCAAAAGCCAAGAATGCCCGAATGTAAAGTTTCATAACAATAGATAGTCATACTTAGTTTAATTGTACTGCAGGCCACCGTGCTATCTTAGCCATTTATTCCTAGAAGCATAATACATTTAACAACCAATTTGGCAAGACAACACTGTGGCATGTGGTACTTATTTTGCATACATAGAAGGGGTAAAAAAAAAAAAAGGAGGGGGGGCGGGAGTTGGCGGGGCATTATATGTAAGCTCTGCGGCTACCAATGATTTGTATCACACCAGCTTCTGGGGTCCCACTGGCTGCCATTTGGGGCTTACTATGTGTGAAAGCTATATTACATGAAGTGTAAGTTAATTTCACACATTTCATCATGACACCAAAAGGAGTGCCAGTCTCTTACAAAGCAATAATGATCTGAAAGGCTTGGAAATTTTTGTAGTCTATTATTAACACTTTCACAATGGGTTCAAATCACTGGGCAAGTTCAATGTCACAATACACAAACCCACACAGTATATTCTTTATTTTTCATGTTAATAGCCTCAGCAAGTTTAACACTGCGGTTAAAGCCAGTAAACACCTTTCACTTCAAAAATTCACAATAACCATTGTTGCTGCTCGACCACAACCATTGCTTCAGCAGTAGACGAGGACGAGGACAGTGATGGCCCAGTCAATCCTACAGATGCAAGGCTGAGGAAAGGGGCCAGGGTTCACAATCCTCTTATGTACAACATAGTGCAGGAATAAAAAGCCTCAACCAAAAGTATGCAGGTCCAACTGTGCATATCAACACCAT